AAATTAAAAATTAGACTAAATAGCAAATATATAAGTATAAATATAAATACTTTATTTAAATGATTATGATTTAAAAGAATGATCTGTATATTATAGTTGCTATCTAAATAGTTATAACTATTAGTCCAAACTAAAATTTTGTGCCAAATCCTATTTTATACAATAAATTTAAGACAAGTTTCATAGCTTTAATTAGTACCAAATAATAGTTAATATCTTAAAAGTCCTAATTAATTAGGTTTAAAAAACATATATAATATGTTATAGTTATTTACTACAAAATCAAAAATATTATCAGGGGCCCCTACAATAGAGCCATAGGGGCCTCTAAGAATTATCAGTAATTTGAACAGTAAATAACTAATATATTTCCTGAGTACTAATACCTTAATAAGATAAAATTATGTGTTACAGATATATTACTATTAGTAAAAATTAGATTTTTACATTAATAAATGAAATATAAAAAAAAAGATCAATATACTTTTGCTTTTTTAAAAAAACTGCAATGGATTCAAATAATACTGTACAATTCAATATTCCAATAACCTTCTAAATAATTCAAGTTTATAGTCTAAAAGTATTGAAATTGAGAAAGCAATATTATTTTATCTAGATAAGTTATGTGTTAATAATACAGAAAAAGTAACAAAAAACTGATTAGAGCATTTTGAAAAGTTTTAAAAAAGTATAATTGAAGTTTATCTGCAGGACAAAAACTATAAAACTAAATTAACATGTATTTCTGAGTTATCTATACTAGATAATCAAGTAGCTGCTTATGTTGCTACTATGAAAAAAAAATAATACTGAATATAAAGCTTTATCTGTATGTCAAGCTGTTGATAGTATCAATTGTTATTTTTGTTATCAATTTCTAAATTTATTAAAAGTTCTTGACAAAAAAATAAAAGAATTACAAGATAAAGAATTTGGTAAAATAAAAGAATTACAACTTTAACTCAACAAAATATCTTTGATATTTTATCACATTCAGTGACATCAATATTGATATCTAACATTTTTATTCAAAGAGTATTTTTTTATAATGCATTTCTTCTAGCCTGTCAGAGTGGTAAACATTATAATTTAAAAATTGATCAATCTAATTTTCATGATGATGGTGAAATTAATTTTCAGAGATTTTGAGCAATAAATAATCAGCATAAAGTAATAGGCAATGCAATACAAAAAGTACCAATTCCTGCAGATTTACTTAATTTTAAAGGATCATACTATAATTATCATTTTTATTTTGAAAAAAGATATTAGATGCTAGGCAGAAATTTTATTTACAAACAAATTCTAAACATTTATATTTATGTTCATAAGTTGTTTTTTTTATATTAATATAAAAAATTAATATATTTAATTTAATAGAAAAAGAGACTGAAATTTGGTATCACAAACAACATATTGACAAAAACTCTCTATTTGGATTTATGAAAGATCTTATTTATAAGACTGATATTGAAGTTGATGGCCTTTTAACAAACTACTCTGGACAAAAACAACTGTATAATTAATGCAAGATAAAGATATTGAAGAATAAGTTAT